TCATATGCATGACTGCCCGACCAGCCGTAGCTCGATGGTAAATGAAGATGCATGTGTCACTATATTACAAATATTAACATCTTTATCATATACCTCAATAGGGAACTAGAAACATAATTAGACATGCTTGAATATCATTTTACATGAATGAATAATGTAGGCATCCTTTTTTTGAAGTAAAGGAATAATATTATATTAACAATAATAGCAAAAGAATACAAAGTCCTTACATAGTCCCTAAGGACATTAGCATTGCCAAACTTGGCAAGTTTTTCACACACAGAAGAAACAACATACTTAGAACTAATACTAAGACCATACTTGTCCTTTGATAATTGAGGTTCAATAAAACAAGGCGGACGTGCATGGTAAATACATTTAAAAGCTTTGAAGTTTTTCACTACTTCTTTCGCCAAGAGATGGGCCATCACATTTCATTCCCTGAAGTTATACCTCAGGATTGGGAGCTTCAACTGGTGCATTAACCACCTGCATTCAAAAATTAGATTAGAGAGTTTTGGGTTATTTTCATAGAGTAGTGATATAGCATTTGTTGAATCTGTCTCTATCTCTATCTTTGGGAATCCCTGTTCTTGAGCAATTTTTAATCCTTCATGGAGAGCCATTACTTCACAATGTATGACTGATGAAGCATAAGTTGATTTGCAAAAGCCAACGATCCAATCTCCATTGCTGTTTCTAAACACACCACCAAGGCCAGCTTCCATTGTATATTTTGAGAAGGCTCCGACAATATTTAGCTTGATAGTATCTAGTGGGGGGTTTTGTTCCATCTGATCTCAATTAGAAACCTGCTTTCTTTGAAGGGGTTTTTCTCCGTGAAGAAGTTGTATTCCAAGGCTTGTTGTAGAACATCAGTGTGTTGAACCTTATAGTTAAGATTATTGATGTTGTTGTTATTTCTATTCTTCCAGATATTCCAAATGGAGAAGGGGAGTATGGTTTTCCAGTTACTAGCATACTTACTTTTTTTAATAAAGTTTTCTTTTAGGCTAATCACCCAGTGTATACCTTCTTTTAACTAGACAGTGGGGATACCCATGTTTTTCCAAAAAAAATTGAGTGCCGGGCAGTGGAGGAAAATATGTTGTGCATCTTCTAAATTGTCTCTACAAGCTGTGCAATTCTTGTCTATATTAATGCCAATGCGGAATAAGAATGCTCTGCAAGGAATGTTGTTATGCATGCATTTCCAGAAGAAGAATTTGATTTTATTTGGACGTTAAAGATCCCTAATCCTGTCAAAGTTTGATTTTGGTATGGTATAAGGATTTATGTGTTTGTAGCACGATTTTATGGAAAAGAGACCACTAGAAGTGATACCCTAGGTCATAGTATCCTTTTCAAAGATCTTATTAGGTGTAGGAGTTGCGATAATCTTGTTCATTAGGCTACTAGAAATCTCAAAAGAAATACATAAAAAGTCTCATTTATCGTCTTTAATAATATCTTTAATAGAAGTGTCGAGATCTTTTCACTAAGAGGACCATATATGTTATTCCTTAATGTGATAGAGTTGTGGATCCAATTTGAGGTCCAAATATTAATTTTTGAGTGAGAGTGGGAGTGCCAAAGGATGCCATCATTACAAAGTTTCCAACCTTTTAGGATAGATTTTCAAATAAAAGAAATGGTGTTGGTTGATTTTTTATTGGCGTACTTGTGCGAGATGAATTGAGCCCATGGGGTGTTAGTCTTTTGTAATAGTCTCCATGAGAGACCTGTTAGTAGGGCAATATTTTAGAAAGAAGCCTTATGAATGCCCAGGCCTCCCTCCTGTTGACTGTTAGTGACAATATTCCAGTTGACTAAATGGTATTTTTATGAGATGCTGGTGCTTCCCCAAATGAAATTCCTTTGTATTTTATCAATTTTGTTTAGGATTTTAACTGGGAGATAAGTATATTGCATAGAATGAACGGGGATTGCATTAAGCGTACTAGTAGTAAGAACATTTTCAGTGTGACATTTTGTTATGTAATTTGTCTACTATGAATTGGAAGTCTCTTGTCTTAGGACTATGATTTAGAATAGGGAAGCCTAGATAGTTTCCAAATTCATGACTAACTTTCATTACAAAAAGGTTTGAGAAGTAGGTAGAAGTATCAAGAGGCAGTTTTTTGGGAGGATGATTTTAGATTTAATAAAATTAATGGATAAACCTGATTGAGAGCAGAAAAAATCTATACAAGATTTTATGCAATTGCCAGTTTTTTTGTTGGTCTTGCCCATTAGGGTTATATCATCCGCAAATAGAACATGAGAAAAAGAGGGACCTTTTTGAGAGATTTTGACCAGGTCCCAATTTAAAATGTCTATTTGATAATTAATAAGTTTTGAGAGTAATTCTAGGCACATGATGAAGATGTAGGAGGATAAGGGGTCTCCTTGGAGGATACCCCTACCGGGACTAAAGAAATCAATAGTTATCTCGTTAACAAGGATTCTCATTGAGCCGGTACAAATGCAGTGCATAATTAGGTTATTGATTTTAAGGGGGAATTTGAAAATCTAAGAGTTCTATAGACAAAAAAGCATTCCAATCTATCAAAAGTTTTTTCAAGATCGATTTTTATCAACATGTCAGGGATAGATTTTTTGTTTTTATGAAGATTATTCATTAAAGTTTGGATGATAATAGCATTGTCACTAGCTCTCATGTTTTTAATGAAACTAGACCGGAGAGGACTAATGAGGTAAGGTAGAATAGGCTTTATCCCGTTAGCAATGATTTTAGTGATTATTTTGTAAGAGGTATTACATAGTTCAACAACAAAAACAACAATAACAACCAAGTAAAATCCCACTCAGTGGGGTTTGGGGAGGGTAAAGTGTACGCAGACCTTACCCCTACCCTGGAGGGAGTAAAGAGGCTGTTTCCTAGAGACCCTCGGCACTGAGACAATAGATCTGTCACAACAAAATCCGAAAAACTAATATCATCAATGTGAGAGATATCAAATAGATGGATAAGCAGTACCACAAATATTATACAAAAGTCGGAAACACAACATAAATCGACTGCCCGACTACTCCTTAACCTACAACCCTAATGCTCGACTACCCCTTAACCTATTACTTAATGCTCGACCTCCACACCTTCCTATCTAAAGCCATGTTATCGGAAATATGGAGTCGTGCCATGTTCTGTCTGATCACCTCGACCCAATACTTCTTAGGCCGCCCTCTACCTCTTTTCGTACCTGCCAAAACCAACCGCTCACACCTCCTAACCGGGGCATCTAGGCTTCTCCTCTGCACGTGTACGAACCATCTAAGCCGCGCTTCCCGCATCTTGTCGTCCACCAGAGCCACGCCCACCCTCTCCCGAATATCTTCATTCCTAATTTTATCCAGCCTAGTGTGCTCACACATCCATCTCAACATCGTCATTTCTGCAACTTTCATCTTCTGGATATGCGACTTCTTGACTGGCCAAAACTCATCCCCATACAACATGGCCAGTCTAACCACCGCTCTATAGAACTTACCTTTGAGTTTCGGTGGCATATTTTTGTCACACAAGACTCCAGATGCTAACCTCTATTTCATCCACCCCACCCCAATACGATGTGTAACATCCCCTTCTATCTTCACATCTCCCTGGATTATTAACCCTAAGTACTTAAAACTTTATATCTTGAGGATGACCTATGAGTCTAGCCTGACTTCCACATCCGTTTCCCCCGTCACTTTGCTGAACTTACATTCCGTATTAGTCCTACTCAACTTGAAACCTTTAGATTCTAGAGCTTGCCTCCATACCTCTAGTCTCCCATTAACGCCGCCTCGCGTCTCATCAATCAAAACTATATCATCAGCGAACAACATACACCATGGCACCTCTCCTTGTATATGGTGTGTCAGTGCATCCATCACTAGGGAAAATATGAATGGGCTGAGCCTAGATCCTTGGTGTAACTACCGGAAAAATCTCTGAGTCACCTCCCACAGTCCTAACCCGAGTCATAGCTCCATCATACATATCCTTTATCGTGCTAGTGTAAGCTACCGACACACCTTTCACCTCCATACATCTCCAAAGGACGTCCCTGGGGACCTTTTCCTACGCCTTCTCTAGGTCAATAAACACCATATGCAAATCCTTCTTCTTATCCCTGTATTGTTCCACCAACCTCCTAATAAGGTGGATAGCTTTCGTAGTAGAATGACCCGGCATGAACCCAAACTGATTTTCCGATATAGACACCTCCCTCCTTATCCTCCCTTCCACCACCCTCTCCCAAACTTTCATAATATGACTTAGTAGCTTGATACCCCTATAGTTATTACAATTCGGTATATCACCTTTGTTCTTGTATACTGAAACCATTGTACTCCACCACCACTCATCAGACATCCTCTTTGTCTTGAAGATAACATTAAACAACCTAGTCAGCCACTCCAAGCCTGGTCCACCCGCATATCTCCAAAACTCTACTAGAATCTCGTTTGGTCCGGTCCCTTTGCCCTGACTCATCTGACACATCGCACCCACGACCTCCTCAACCTTAATGCGCCTACAATACCTAAAGTTTTGGTGGCTTTTAGAGTGCCCCAATTTCCCTAATACAATGTTTCCATACCCCTCTTCATTGAGAAGTTTATGAAAGTACGACTGCCATCTTTGCCTAATCTTGGCCTCTTCCATCAATACTCGGCCGTCATCGTCTTTAATGCACCTCACTTGATTCAAGTCTCAAGCCTTCTTCTCTCTTGCTTTGGCCAACTGGAATAACTTCTTGTCCCTACCTTTGCCCCAAGCTCCTCATACAGCCGACCAAATGCTGCAGTCTTAGCCTCTATGACCGCTAATTTTGCCTCCTTCCTAGCCTCCTTATATCTTTCTCAGTTCGCTCTCCTTTAATCCTCATCTGTGCTCTCTACTAACTTAATGTAAGCCACTTTTTTGGCTTCCACTTTACCTTGGACCACGTCATTCCACCACCAATCGCCTCGGTGCCTGCAAGAGTAACCTTTCAAAACTCCCAACAGCTCTTTCGCTGCCTCCCATTTACAGTCCGCCATTGCCGTCCAATAGCACTAACATCCCCACCACTCTTCCAGGCACCCATAGTTGTCAACCGCCCCTCCAACTCCTGTACATTATCCTTAGACAATGCTTCCCACCTGATTCTCGACTGACCCCATACAAACCTCTTCTTCCTCTTCATCAAGATACCCACGTCCATCACCAGGAGCCTATGTTGAGTTGTGAGGTTCTCACTCGGGATCACCTTGCAATCCTCGCACAACCCCCTATCATACCTTCTGAAGAGGAGATAGTCAATCTGAGTCTTAGCCACCATACTCAGGAAAGTAACCAAATGTTCCTCCCTCTTCAGAAATATAGAGTTCACGATTACCAACTCAAAAGCGCTAGCGAAATCTAATAGTGAGGTACCACCATCGTTCCTCTCACCAAAGTCGAAGCCACCGAACACCTCACCATAGCCACCAGTAGACGACCCAATATGACTATTGAAATCCCCTTATATGAATAGCTTCTCTGTAGGTGGAATAACCCGCACCACCTCATCCATCACCTCCTAGAAGCGCCTTTTAACCTCCTCGTCCAAGCCCGTTTGCGCGTAAGCGCTAATGACATTCAGAGTGCTCCCTACAACTATTACCTTAATCCCATCAATCTGTCATTACCTGCCTAACCTCTACCATCGACTCTCTGAGCTCCCTATCCACCAAAATGGACACTCCGTTCTTGCCCTTCACGACCCCGGAGAACCACAATTTATACCCGTCTACATTCCTCGCCTTTGATACTACCCACCTAGTCTCCTTCACACATGCTATATTGACCTTTTTTTCTGGAGAATCTTCGCCAGCTCTATAGACTTACTCATCAATATCCCTATATTCCACAATCCAATTCTCAACCTACAGGCTACCTTGTTCCCTTTACCCCCTTTGGGCCCCGTCCCATCCCCTAACACTTGCCCTTCCCCCTCCCTACCACCCGAACTCCCCGAGGACAAAACCCTTCTCTGCCATTACAAACCATAGTCTCTATACCTACGATGGTGTAAAGTTAAAAAAGAAACACACCACACAGACTATACTTGTACGAAATATTACGACAACAAAGTAACTAACGCAGAAGATAGAGAAATAGGAGGGGAGAGGTACCAATTCCCGTGAATAGAACTTGGAATTTTCGACTTGGTATACTCCCGATACTGCGGAACCTAGCGTATAGCTTTTGCTCTATTGCTTGTGCACATGCACCTCCCTACCGCCACCAAACAACCACCAAGTGATACCTGCAAAACACACAAATGCCCACGGAACCAAGAGAATAGGGCGTTCTGATGGCAAAGAGTTCCGACGGCGAATATGGGTCTTCCCTAATTCTGTTTCAAAAAAGGTTTTTTTGAAGAATGATATGGTGACTATTAAATCAAAATCCATAAAACAAACTTTTCAAGTATAACCGGGTGGGTTGAATTACTATTGTTTCTTTAAGAATTAATTGACAGTTCGAAAATGTATGCCTTTTCTTTCAAGAAAGGAACGAAAAGAAAACTTGGAAAGTTGAAATTTTTGAAGGAAACCCAATTCAGATTGCTAGTAAACGAACTGATTTGAGCAAAAATTGGATGAAAAAGTGTCAAGATTTGAACAAAAAATTGGATGAAAATGTGTCAAGATTTGAGTAAAATCCCAATTCAAAGCAAGAAAAAGTCTGAGTCAGTTGGAATCTACTACTGAGCAAGAAAAGTATTACATAGTCCAATAGGTCTAAAATTTTTGAGGTTGTTTGTATTGGGAAATCTTGGGATAAGACATATAAAAGTTTCATTTATACTATTTCGCAGTGTTTGGGTATCAAAAACCTTATGGCAGTAGGATTCTATCGAATTTTTGATGATGTGCCAGTATTTTTGATAGAAGAAAGGATGAATTTCATCCGGCCCAGGTGCTTTGAAGGGTTTGAAGGAAAAGACAGCCTTTGTAATTTCCTCATTTGTCAAGGCAGTATCAAGACTACTTAAATCAATATTATTGTGGTACGTAGGATCATTTAGGATGGCCTTTCTATGAGAGGTGGTTTTAGAGGTTGTGAAGGCATTAACAAAGAATTTGAGAGTATGGTCTAATATTGATTTAGGATCAGTAATCTATTCACCATTATTGTTGGTGAAGTATATAATAACATTACGACGCTTACGATTAGAAGCCATTAAGTGGTAGAATTTTATATTTGTATCCCCATCATATAACCAAGAGATTCTGGAGCGTAATTTCCAAAAGTCTTGTTCCATTTTCAGAATATTATTGTAATTTAATTGGAGCTTAGATTCTAAGTCTTGTAAGAAGTAACTTCTTTGGTATGAGGGAGAAGACTGAATTCCATTGAGCCTAGCTAGGAGTATTTTTTTCTTTTTAAAAATATCTCCAAAGGTCAGTTCATAACAGTGTCTTTGAAAGTTATTTGAGCATCAGTTAAACTATTATTAGACATACAACATCTAACAATGTTAATGAAGTCAGGATGTCTCCACCAAATTGTCACTAATCTAAAAGGTTTTTTATGAAATCAACATTTTTGGGATAATTGAACTAATAACAGGCTATAGTCAGAGTGTGTTCAGGGCAGGTGGATGACCGTAGCCTTGGGAAAAAGGGATAACCAACTATTATTAACAAAAATTCTATCTAATCTTTTAATAATTAATCCTCTAGATTTTTTCCTATTATTAGTCCAAGTATACTTACACCCTTTATAATCTAGGTCCAATAGATTGCATTTGTTGATGATCTTCGAAAGATTATTACTTCTCCTACGGTTGATTGGATTGCCACCAAATTTATCATTTGCGCTAAAAATGTCATTAAAATCTCCCCCTAGGATCCAAGGCTTAGAGTTATTGTTATGAATGCTTTCAATATTATTCCACAGAGTACATCTTTTTTCTAGGTTAGTACTAGCATATACCGAGGAAAATAACCAAGTAGTATTAAAGGGAGTTACCTCTATAGTGGCGTGGATCTCTTGGATCCTCCTTAAAAAATCATGGACTCTCACTATGCTAGCATCCCATATAATAACCATACTCCCAGCTTGACCCTTCTCTGGGACCTCAGCCATTTTCGTAAAAGAAAAATCATTCAGTAGGGTGATATGATTTTTCATACGGGTTTCTGGCGAAGTAAGCATGCAAGGTTTGTGAGTATCAACCACCCCCCTAAAGTTGATACGGAAGTTGTCATTGTTACCACCACGAATATTCCAAATGATGATGTTAGTAGGCCTATACATCATTGATGCATGATTGTTGTTTAAGCTATTTTCCATTCTTGCATGGAGCACTAGGTTCCTTCTCAGAGAGGAACAAGTATCATTGCATGGCTCCCCACCGTTGGGTCTTGTGGTGGCCTGATGTCCATTGAGAACTTGTACAAGGCTGGTGGGCAACTGAGCACATACCTCTTCTCTAGCATCTCCCTGAAGAGATAGACTTTTACATCATTTAGACTTGAGAATTCTATTATGTCTTCCGATCCTAATAAGTTCATTTCTTCTACATTCTCTACTGGTGGCTCTTCTTGTTCTTGCGCATTGGGATTGACTGGTGTGGTGTTGGGACATTTACTGGGGGAGCTGCTTGAGCTTAATTCTGGTGTAAGTGAGGGGCTGTTGCCCATGGCATGAAGATTGTGTTTAAGTTCTGGATCTCCCTGGGGGAAAGAATGGGAGATCCAGTTACATATTTTGTGGTTGGAGGGGATTAAAGTGATGAGGGTGGTTCCACTGGTTTCTCATGGCTTGAGCTTGGTGTGCATTCATAGTAGGGGCTAATGGGTGAAGTATGTTGTTTATCCAAACGTGGTTGTGGTAGTTGCTCATGGCCATGTGCATTGCTTCGGAAACAAGTTGTTCTAGAAAGTGAGAGTTTTGGAGAATGATCACTGTTTCTTGGCCATCTAGGATCATGTTGAACGTGACTGCATGGTCCATCAGTGCTTGTTCTATCCATGATAGAGGTTGGTGATCTTGAGGGAGAGGTGGTTGGATGAAGAAGACTGTTTGGTTTCCCTGTTAGTTGTTCTAATTTGGAGGTGGGTTGGCCATTGTGTGAGCTCTTTGGTGCCTTAGGGTTTGCACAAGTCTGTACCTCCTCCTTTATGATATGGGAATTCTTGGCATTATGTGTATAGAGGGGTTGATTTATAGTGATAGGATCGTTTTGTTCACTGGAAGGTGGAAGGGTTTTGGCTTCCATCTCTGGATAGAGAGAAAATGGCCAAATATGAACCATGGACCATTGTTTAGGACTCTGACCATGTGTTCTTCGCATTTGAATTTTGTTATGTAGTAGTCTACTAACAAATCGATTAGGGAAAAATTATCCATAAGTTTCCAAGCTTTTAGAATTTTCTTTTTGAGGATATGATGTTGTATTTTTTTACCATGGAGTTTGATAATGAGAGAATATCTCCATGGTTAATATATACGTTCCTGGTCTTTGTAATGACCCGGCCAGTCGTTTCACGAGTTAACGCTCCGTTTTCCCCATTTCTACTTCTTTATATGTTGTTCAGCTGTATTTCATCGCATCGTATTGGTTAGTTTGGGGTCGGAGTGGTTTTGTGGAGGAATGAGACATTTAAGGTGTGTTTGGTATGAAGGAAAATATTTTCCGAAAAATATTTTCCAATTTTCCCATGTTTGGTTGGCTTAAATGTTTTGGAAAATATTTTTCTTATCAACTCATTTTCCTCCAACTGGAGGAAAATGTTTTCCTTATCAAGAGAAGGAAAAATATTTTCCAAAACTCTTTTTCAACCTTCCCCACCCTCACCAATCCAACCCAC